CCAGACGTTTGGTCATTTCCCTGTTTTTCTTTTTCCTTATCTTAGTCTAGGCAACTGAATCTCTAGTTCTCTTTTCATGATATGTCGACTAGTCATAAAGATGAGCCCATCTCTCGTCAACATCAGATCTCTCAGCTTCCATGCCTTTCATTCTACTGTACAGCCCTAACCTTGCTAACCTTCACATCCACACGAAAATCCTGCCACACATGACAGCAATGCGCATCGCGATCCCAGTCAAACTTCGAATCAGCGAGCTGAAAATCATAGCTCAGCAAGAGCTTCGCGATAGTTAGACGCAGCACCCGCAGACCCATGATTCTGCCCGGGCACGCATGGGTGCCCACCGAGAAGGCCGAAAATGCAGCCAAATCCGACTCGGGGGTGGTGGCAAGCCACCGCTCGGGGTCCCATCGTTCGGGGTCTTTGAAGTACCTTGCAGATCGGTGGATCGAATACTTGTCAACGAAGACTTTGGCCTACGTATAACATCAATATCAATCTTAGTCAGCTGTAATTCTGATGCTAGACTCACCCCCTTGGGCACATAGACGCCATCTACCTCTATGCCGGTGGAGATTCTGGCGCCCACGTCGTTCACTGGTGGCTGTAGTCGAAGGCTTTCTTGGATGCAGGCATTCAGGTAAGCGATCTGGGACAACTTTTCATCTGTACAAGCTTCTTCACGGGGAATAGCGGTGCGGAGCTCGTGCTTCAGCGTTGCGAGCGCTTTGGGATGTTGCAGTAGGTAGTAGAAGACGGCGGATGCGGCAGCTGAAACAGGGTCATATCCACCGATTCTGTTCACACAATTGTTAGCTCTATAGCATGGAGATGCCTGAATGGCATACTGGGGATGCTCTCACACAAGAAGACTGATATGTGCCATGGCGCGCTTTAACTCGGGCTTTCCGTCGGCCCCGTCCACGATCCCCAGCTTTTGCGCGACAATGCTCTCGCGGAACTCTTTTCGGTCTGTGAGTCTACGGGACAATTAGACACGCCGCATTCCGAGCAGACAATCTCGTGGGGAGGAACCTACTCCTGAATCCGACTGAAAGTGTTAACCTGCACCCAATCCGTCGTCATAAGATTCCGAATCGTCCTCAGCAGAACCGCCGCGACGGCCGATGCCCCTGGCAAGCGACCGATGTAAAACATCAAGTCCAAACCAGCGGTGTACACATTATCCCACCGCCGAAAGTAGTCAAATGTCTCTTTCGTGCTGATGGGAATGGAATGACCGAGGAAGAAATGCCCCATGCACTGCCAGATCAGCCGGTCCATCCCGGCCGTCAGATCGTATTGCGTCCCTCCGCGGGCTGCGGTGTCCAGCTCTTCCTTCAGCGCCATCAGGTAGGTCTGATGAATCTGCTCCTGGCTTGGTGTGGGATAGGTTGCCAGAATCCCCTTGACCTGCGACCGCACACTTCGATGGTCTGATTGGGAGGTGGCCGATTGCGCCGTGGTGTCTCCGATCACGACATCGATCGCAAAACTGACGTTGTTCTGCGTTGGAGTGAAGCCTTTGGTGTACTCGTCCTTGTAAATTGCGTCTCGCGCCCGGGGGCTTGCGAAGGATAGTTCGTTTGGGGAGATTCGAACAACCGGACCTGTGTGGAATCAGGTAAATGGTTCTCAGAAATAGGTGATGGGTAGCGTACCATATTTTTCATGCAAGTCTCGTAGCTTGGGAAGAAGTTTCCCTGAGTACCGGGCGTGCATTGCCCATAGCTTCGGTTGAAGTTAGACTGGTGATTGAAAGAGTGGAGAGAAGCTGCAAACCGGAGACGCTGCTGCAATAGCTGGGCCTGGAAATTTGGCCAGAGGGTGGAAGTATCGATCATAAATCACGGCGGCGGCGAAGATCGCCACAACAACCTGGATCATGTTAGACTGCGTCCATCAGAAGAGGTAAATTGTACTAACCAGGAGAACCAACATCATGTTATTTGTTTGTCGACCACCGTCGCTAGGTGGGCTGACGGCTGGCTTCAATCAACTAATATGACGAGCTCGAATCTGAGGTGAAAGAAATCAGGTTTCGCGGGGGCGAGGTGGCCGTGACGAGACTTATGATACATTGAGTAGCTCGTGTGGGGGTCCTGCAGGCACTTCAATCACATTGAGCCTAATGATTGTGACCAGGTCGCCGAGTGTCGATCATGAGGCGATTGGGCCAGCCGGGTAGGGCTTATCATATTCGGATCACCTCATCAGCACCACGAATACGATATCAGCCGCACTATTTTCTTTCGGTCTGCAGTAGTTTTGTCTTTCACCCCAATCATCAGTTATTTCGGGCTCCACTTTGGCTTGGACTTTGTCACGATCGAATTTCAATCGACTTGAAATGGTGGTGAGGATTCCAAATCTCGAGCTACCTCAAAGCCCATTGATCCTTCGCTGGCTCCGCATGGGGCAATAACCGATGTGATGAGAATATCAGAATTTATCCGAGTCCATACATGCAGGTAGCTTGGATCAATGCCGATCGTGAACAGGTCCAGTTGTCACTTAAGTGCGTGTGACCGAATGACACCTCCACGCACGAGAGGGGATAAAGTCCGGTGTATATCTGCCTGGTTGACAATCCCATTCACCGAAAGTTTTCTCCACACTTGCTGATTGCCACTCTAATCTTGAACAGTAACTATGCACACAAAGGTCCTTACGGCAAAGCCAGGCTCATCAGGTTTAAGCCCTGGGCCTACGGTTCGCGCCGCACGCGATGCTCTTGACAAAGCAACCCAGTACTCGATAGAGCAAATGAGAGAAGACAACCATTGGTGTGGCGAGTTACGGTCCAATGCAACTATCACGGCCGAATATGTCTTCCTGCGACTGTCTCTTGGCCTGGATCTCACCCAAGAGGCAAAGCCCCTCATTCAATGGCTTCTCTCGCAGCAGAATCCAGATGGCTCCTGGGGAATTGCGCCCCACTATCCCGGTGACATCTCGACCTCGACCGAGGCGTACTTCGCTCTCAAAATCCTCCGGTTCTCACCCGAGCACCCGGCGATGCGCAAGGCCTGTGAGTATATTCGGAGTGTCGGGGGCGTGGCCAGAGTCCGCATCTTCACTCGGTTCTATATGGCGATGTTCGGGCTGTTCCCCTGGGACGCAGTGCCCGAACTGCCGGCGGAGCTCATCTTCATGCCCGCCTGGGCCCCGATCAACATCTACAAGTTCGCCTCGTGGGCACGCAGCACGATCGTGCCCCTGCTGATTGTGTCCCACCATCGTCCAATTTACCCTCTTCCTCCGGGGAGTGCAGCGGACGGTACATATTTGGATGAGCTGTGGCTCGACCCTGGGAATAAATCGGTGCCATACCAGCGGCCTGCGAGTAGCACTGGACTGAGCTTGCTGGTGACTTTGTTCTTGGTTATCGACCACGTGCTGCACTTCCTAAACGGACTTCGATCCTTCCCCACTAGAGCTTACAGTCGTCGCAGCTGTATCTCCTGGATCCTCGATCATCAAGAAGACTCCGGAGACTGGGCTGGCATCTTCCCGCCTATGCATCTCGGCTTACTGGCCCTCACACTGGAGGGCTTTCAGCTCACCGATGCACCCGTTGTCAAAGCACTGGAATCTGTCGAGAGGTTTGCATGGGAGGACCAGCAAGGCCGGCGCATGCAAGCCTGCGTCTCCCCAACCTGGGACACAATCCTCATGTCCATCGCCTTATGTGATGCCTCCCACCCCAAGGACAGTAAAAGTCTACACCGCGCCATCAAGTGGATTCAGAATCGCCAGCTCACGCAGCCCTACGGCGACTGGCAGGTCTACAGCCCCAAGACCATCCCCGGAGGCTTCAGCTTCGAGTATTTCAACACCTGGTACCCGGATGTCGACGACACTGCGGCCGCGATCATTGCCTTCCTCAAGCACGGAACCGACCTCACGTACCACAATGTCATCCGAGCGGTGCTCTGGATCCTGGGCATGCAGAACAAAGACGGCGGCTGGGGCGCGTTCGACATCAACAACGATGCGCTCTTCCTGAACAAGATCCCATTCAGTGATATGGACAGTCTGTGCGATCCGTCGTCGGCAGATGTCACGGGACGGGTGCTGGAAGCGTTTGGTCTCTTGTTCCGGAGCCCAGTTGCGGATTACGCGGGCTCGGACTTGCTGTCACAGATGCGTACTGCATCCGACCGTGCCATCGAGTATCTTGCGCAAACTCAGGAGGCGGATGGATCGTGGTACGGCCGTTGGGGATGCAACTACATCTACGGCACGAGTAATGTCCTCTGTGGTCTAACGTATTTCACCAAACATAGCAGCCGCATCCCCGCCTTGACATCGCGAGCCGTGCAATGGGTCCTGTCGATTCAAAACTCAGACGGGGGTTGGGGCGAAAGCCTACAGACCTATCGGTCCGGCAGTCGGGTCGGACTCGATCATTATTCCACGGCGTCACAGACGGGGTGGGCCGTCATGGCTTTGCTGCCGTATCTGGCTCCGAGTGCCCCCGCTATCGAACGAGGTGTTGGCTATCTCATTCAGACGCAATCGAAGCAGGAAGGCAGTGGGAAAGGAGCAACGTGGGAGGAGAGCCGGTATACTGGGACGGGATTTCCGAACTTTTTCTATCTTGGATATGCGTTCTATGCACATTACTTTCCGATGATGGCGCTGGGGAGGTATATACAGTTGGCAGGGACTCGAACTGTTGGAGTCTTGTCGGAAAAGGAGATCTTTTGATAGACGCCGCTATGATGACATGATGATTTGTTCTGTTGCGGCCTCGGGAGGCAGTTTCGGAAGGTTGCCTAAGAATGATGATGTGTAGAATGCGATCCCATGCTGTGATGTCAATGGGCCAAGATACATACGCCATAATATCGTGGGTTGCAGGGACACCCACCCAATTACTTCTTCATTTTTGTCTCCATCGACGGTGCCACGAGATATCAAATCATTCAGTATCTTACCCGCAGTGCTCGGGGTCATCTCACGCACGTATTTATTTATCCTCGAACCCCACGATGGAGCTCCTCCCTACGGAGATCATGGACCAGGTAAGCTTGGTAACCCTCGAGTCCTGGGGTTGAGCTGAATCATTGCGTCCAGATCCTCTCCTTCGTGGTGGAGCTCTTCTCGCCGAAGCCTTCTTACCGCATGCCTTGCCTGAGAGAAGGCAAACCAAAACACGTTCTCGCAACAACTACTACAGCCAAGCGTCAACTGGCCGCATTACGTCTCACCGGCCGAGTCTTCTATCGCAGTGCCTCAGTCTTACTCTTCCAGGCCCTTACCGTGGGAGGTCATAGTCCAGATTCTCTGGAGCGCCTCGAACGTCTATCACACAGCCCCCAGGCCGCTTGTGTTCGGCACCTCAGTTTCGCATTTTATCACCCGGAGCTCTATACGCAATCCAAATCTGCGAACCTTGCCGACGACGTTCGATATCTCCAACAGCTACAACAGGGCTTCAATGATTGTCTTCCCCGGTTTCCGGGTCTGCGAGAGATCGTGTTCGCCCAGCCCTGTTGCGACCCTGCGCCATGTGATAGAGACCGATATCTTGACATAGTCGCCAGGACTTTGCGCGACGTCGAGCTCCCCAGTCTGTCCGAGGTTCACCTCCACCTCGAGCACGCGCACTCCTTGCGGCATATCCTCGACGCCATCTCCTCCTCATTACAGCCCCATACCAACGACAATCTGCCGCGTCTCCGACACCTCGTGTTGTATGCGCCCGCCCTCAACTACGACACTATAGCGCAAGGATCGCCTGATCCTGAGGCTGCTGCTGCTGCTGCAACCCAGTCTCATGCAGCTCGGGTGCTCCCTCTGTTGGGGCTCGCCCCTAATCTCGAGACACTGACTCTCACAACGTGGGTTATAGGCCTTGACACATTTGTCCTTCCATCGCTGCGCCTCCGCGCTCTTTGTCTGCTTGGCGTCGAAATTCCCTCGAAATGCCTGCTTCGCTTCCTGGAGGCTCTTCATGATACACTCCGATCCATTTCCTTCACCCACGTCCGCCTGCGCTCGGGAACCTGGGCCACGGTCCTAACCGGTATGTGCTCTCTCCCGTACCTGCTTCAATTAAACCTTGAGTGCAACGGGTATTCGCCGAGCCGGGCGGGCTTTTCTCTGTTCCATCACATGAACGGGCTGGTCATCACGTCGCCTTACGACCTGCCTGCACTCGGGGCGCTCTATCGTCACATCAGCCGCAACAGAACCGCTGCGGGACGGTAGCCGCTGATGGCCACGCCAACGGAGCATAATTTTAGTATTCATCAAGAGTTGTTGAAGTGTGTCAGGCGGGTTTCCTGAGTAGGAACAGGTTGGCGTATGTTCGAGTCATCAAGCCCTTCTTTGCCCTGTCTGTGGTAGTTTGTGTTAGTTCTGTGAAAAAAAGATGAGTCAACTAAAGCCTATGACGGACTATACAACTCCGCGTAGCAATACTCTATCCCGATCATTTTAAGGATCTTGCGAGGGAATGATGTCATGTATAGGAGATATTGCGATGGTCGTTCTAGGCTTCATACCTTCCTTTTTGGGCTTCGCTTGCCCGCTCCCGCGATGGAATATGTGCCTCCATCATCAAATCCCACTTGCTAGATGACCTGGAATCCACCAGAAGCCACCATTATTTCTGCTCCCCTTGTATCAGACTCTGAGACTGCGCTCCGTTTAGCCTGTGGTATCGTATGAAGTGTTGTTTGAATAATTGTGCTATGCCTTCTTCAAATGCTTGGTCCAGCGGTCAGCATGTCATATCATTCGAATGAAGACGGTCTTATCATTTCTGCATTTGACGAGAAGCGAGTGGCCAACATCTTGGCCAGGTGATGCCGGTCTCATCAAGCTTGCCAACCACCATATTATTCATAAAACTGGTCTCGTCTTGATAGGACGAGAGCATGCTCCAATCAAGGACCTCGCTGTTGCTGCTCACTGGGATCCTCTCCCTATCGGCTGGCATCGGTGAGGTTTCTCATCAACTTCTCCATGGCAGGTGTGGTCAAGGATCATGGCCTCGCTGCTAGCCTCGTATACACAAGTTTTCTGTAGCCATCAAGCATCTGGAATCACCAAAGGCCACGTAGTATCAAGGAAGAAGAGGCCTTTCTCGGTCCTCGTCCCCTGCAGCAGAACTCTCTGCCAAAAGATCAGTCAGGCTGGCACCACAAAGTCTCGTTCATCGCAGCTGGGCTGGTGCCATTTTGATATAAAACTCTGATTACCCCGCAACTGACAGAGATTGCCCCGCTCTGCAGTCACGTATCAATAACTAGATTTTCTTATTGTCTCCTATTCATGAGGTTATGCGGCTGCCTAGTGCCTATTGACAGGTTCAGCCGGTATAGCTTCACGATTTCCGTTTTGGGATTTGCATGTGATGGTAGAGCTGTGTGGGGCTGGGTTCTGGTAGGTGATTGGTCGTGCAAGCTCACAGCTTGCCTGTTGATGTAGGACGTGAATAGCTTCATGAGTTCGCTTTTATTCACAGTGTTCATCACCAGGACTCTTGGTAAGCAAGATGTCAGGTGTCTCGCGTCTCAGGCCTCTAACATAAAAGCATCTTCTCACTATCTTCAACTCTTCTTCTCTCTCTTTCTTCCTTTCTTCTTCCTTCAACCATCTCTTTTCCATCAACCTCTGTTCTTGTCCACCAACAACGTGAATTTCACATCCATCTTTCATCAACTATCATCATCTTCATCCATCTAACAAAGAGTCCTTCATCCCAGATACAAAAAAACCACAAATCCTCCATCAAACCGTTCATCTCATCTATCGACATCGATTCCACCACTGCCACGATGACGGACAATGATGGCCAAGAAGCCAGGGGAGGACGAAACACCACAAATATCGAATGCTGCGTGTGCCTTGACCAGTTCCAACGAAGCGAGGTAACTCGTGTTGGCTGTGACCACGAATACTGCCACGACTGCATCAAGCAGCTCTTCACCAAGTCCCTCCACGATGAATCGCTGTTTCCACCGAAGTGCTGCGGCCAGGAGATCCGGCTTGCACTCGTCGAGGACCTCTTGGGCGAGGATGAGATCGAAACATTCCACCACCGCGAGATTGAACATACCACAGCCCACCGCGTATACTGCGGGAACCGGGCGTGCGGCGCCTTCATTCGACCGGAACTCATCACAGGAGACAGGGCCCGTTGCACCGGGTGCCTCAACCTGACCTGTGCTCGATGTATGAACCCATTCCACTTTGACGCCGACTGCCCTGAGGATCCGGCCATCCAAGCCACGCTGGCGCTCGCGGAGCAGGAAGGATGGCGACGGTGTTACTCGTGCAAGGCAGTCGTGCAGCTTTCTCGGGGCTGCAATCACATGCGGTGAGTGCATCCCTGAGAGCTAACCTTGAGACTTGCCCCGCGGACAGACCAGGTATGCTAACATCGAGTGCTTGCGTGATAGATGTCGCTGTGGTGCACAGTTCTGTTACCGATGCGGCGCGAAATGGCGCACCTGTCACTGCCCCCAACATGAACGTGGGAACCACTTCGCCAACCCCGAATGGGTAATGCCGCCACCTCGCGACCACGGCCCTCGTCATCGAGCAGGCAATCGCAATCAGAACAACACCGGCCGCCGCGTCCCACTTCCACTTCCACGCCGCGATCACGGCCCTCGTCATCGAGCACGCAATCGCAATCAAAACAACACCGGCCGCCGAGTCCCACTTCCACTTCCACCCCGCGCACCCCCCAAAGCGCCGCTCAACCCTCCACGAAATAGGATCAATGAACGGCACACCTGTGTGACTTTCTTGCGCAGAGAACATGGACGCCCACGCGGCTCCGGATGCGAAATCTGCAATAGTGTCCTCTTCTTGTATGAGTGTCAAGACTGCGAACGCCTCATTTGCGAGTACTGCCTTACTCACAACGTTGATCGGATCTGAGTTCTGTTTTTCGGACGATACGGGGACTGTGAAAATGTGTCATACCAGCCATAGGTGGCACGTTTTTGAGTGTCGTCGGACTCACGACTGATTGCGGGATGTGTCATTCCAACCATAGGTGATACATCTCCGAGCGTTGTCGGACTCAACTTGTTGCAGGACATGAATCTTTTCGACGGAAAGTCTTGGTGAAAATGCGGGAATCGGGAGTTTTGGATGCATGGAGATCTTGGACGGAGTCATGGAGACAAAACGGGAATTTGGAGTTTGAACTTTTGGAGGCAAATTGGGAATTTGGATGTGTTTTTTGAATGTTGATATGTGCTTTGGAATGTTGATATGAGGCCTCATGATGTTGATATGTGCTATGATGGTTTGGAAATGACGTTATGAAGCTGACGAATGTATCTATTGCATGTTCCACCTTGCCCATTATCACCAAAGTACAGTTTGCGACACCAGCCATCCTGTAGACATCAGTAGAAGTAATGCGTAGACTTTTGAGGGGGCAAATGAATTAGCCTGAGTACGTTGGTCCATTGCCTTAGGGCTATTTGCTGGTTTGCGCTCTCGGGCAACGGTGGGCTTACAGCAGTAAGTGGATGTACTGGGAGCGACGAGGTCCCGGCAGAGCTTATGCGTATCGTGCTCAGCAAATCTTAAACTTATCGAAAGGGTGTCAGCATCGACAGGCCGCTTGGATCTCGACTCGAATCTCATATGGCTGTCGAGCGAAGAAGATAGGCGAAAAAGCCGGTCTTAGGGTGGGTTGATGCTAACCCTAACTCCGGTTATATCCGATGCAATCTCAATCACTCAACTCCTTCCATCGATGTTTCCATTTTAGTTTAAGCCTATCGTGCCGTACGCACATCACGATCCTGAGATACCGCCCTCGACCAACTGCATTTGGTTAGCTGTCTCGCGTAGAAGGAGCTGAACGGTCGCATGGTGGGCACAATCCCGTGCGCAAGACAGAGCAGTCCGTTGGCAAGTATTGCGAACCTCAGTCGATGGTCGGACTGCCCAATAAGAACTGGACTGCAGCCAGCTTGCCAGATACCGCTGCAGTTACTAGAGACGTATGCCCGTCTCAATCTCTGGCTTTCCGATCCGCGCCTCGGAAACAGCAAAACGCGATGGCAGCCTCATCGACGCGAACAACGACCGAGGTCAAGGACCACCTGTCTAGTCGGGTTCATACAAGACAAGTAGCCGCCGCTTTTGAAGAGTGGCTTGAAGACACGGTGGCCTTTCTGGGAGGAGATGATTAGATGGATACCGCCGCCGTGAAGGCTAGGATTCGCGCCTCTTTTCAGCAGAAGCTTCCCTACGGGCTCGTGACCCCGTGACACGGCAGCAATGAGTCAAAAGCACTGATACTGATCTTGTCCAGCAATGAGCTTGACAAGTTCCTCTTCTTCACATCAAGTTACATGTTACAAGAAAGGGTACCAGCCATTGCTAATGCTTGGATCGACATCACTTGGGAAGAAAAGCCAAACCACCATTGTCGACACGCCCTACGGCGTCGAAAAGTGCAGGTATGAACTTCTCATACACTATTCGAGCGCCATGCTCTATTAGCAGTCTAAGTACGCCTTCAAAGATGTGCGATGATAGCGAGCGGTCAAACAAGTTGTAGGCCGTGGTGTGCACCAGCTGAGTCACTTCAGTCTCCCCGTCTAGAACGAAAAGCTCCATGTAGCATGAAAGCAGCTTCTCATGCACTGCACAACCCCCCTCGTCAACTCGGGTTCTGGCCAGCTGCCGGCGTTCCTGAGTAATATGTCGGTCCACGTGATCCGAGGCGTTTCAAGGCTGCTTCAAGCTACTAGTAGTTCAACCAACCAACCACCATGAACTCAAGATATCGTTCCGTATCGCCCACCTCTCAGCTTCATCAAATTGATCTGGCTAGCCTCATGGCCATATCACATTGTCTCAGAAGACACCGATGTTCTCATCACTAGCTCTGATCTCCACCAAGTTCCCTCGGCTCGAGACCAAAAGATATACTTGTCGGAAGGGACATAAAGAACCGGATGTCGCGTGCAAACTGCATATTGAATATCATCTTCTGCGGGGGAGTGCCCCGGTACGCTGACCTCAACTAGTCCCTCTCGATCTCGCTGCGCGCCCAAACATGTTCGCTCACGATAGTACTTAGACTCGCTTTCTCTTCGCCTGGCCTGCTGGCGCGGAATATAATGCCCCATGGCGTTGGGCGCCACTCCGGGAACCTGGCGCCTTGGACGAAAGCCCATCTCTTCGATATGCGATCCCGGCTTGTTGCGGAGGCGACGCGAGGGGTTGGAACACCTGGCCGATCTTCATCATCTGGGCCGGGAGTTGATCCAGCGTCTTGGACATGTCCTAGAAGAAGACCTACACTTTAGATCCTATCACAAACAAAGTGATGGCTTCTTGTTCATCGATCACTTACCGACATCAGTTCCACCGCCGTGGGCTCCCGGGCCAGCTCCGGCACAAAATTCAACAACTCTTTGGCGTAGCCTGCGGCCACGATGGAAGCATAGCCATGCCACCGGTCCGATTTGTGGGAGTCGGCATAGTCACTGATCCCACGGATCACCAGGCAGGGGAAGCTGTCCATCAGCCCCGCAGCTTCCATCTCCAGACAGATGATGTTCTTCTCTGTGCGGAGTTTGTCACGAGTCGGGCCGTGGAGCATAACCCGGTCCGCGGAGCCGATGAGCCCATAGTGAATGACGGGCTCGTCGCTTTCCCGCGCCAGCCGCTGCACCAAGTGACGTGCATCACATCGGCTGCAGTTCTTTACATCAGCAGGATGTTCATATTCGGCCTGGTACAGATGGTCTTCTGTGTTTGGACGTCGGTATTTGACGTCCATCCTAGGCCGTTCCTTCAGGATCTCCCCGAGTAGTTGTGGGATGCTGCTGCCCCGCATGTCATGCTGTTTCTGGACGCTCTGGATTGCTTGCAGGAGGATAGCCGGTGGCTTCCCCAGCGATCCGGCGTAGACAAATTGACCTTCGTGGACGATCTTTCCATGGTCGTACTGGACGACCCCACCTGCCGGAATGTGTGAGCCGTTGCCACGAAGCGAGGGAAGGGGCAACCGAAGAACTAGAGATAAAACGAAAACGGCAGCTTACCATATTCGCCATGGGGCATAGAAACCACCACATCTCCGAGGCGGATATCGTCGGTCGAGTCCTCGACGATCCGGGCTGGGATTCCGCCGCCGATGCCCACCATCAGACCGAAGCGGATTTTCGGGAAACTGCGCAAGAGGTTGGTCGCAGTCGTGCTCGCAGGTACCTTACCGGAATGCCAGCACCGAGTGATGCGACGACAATCTTGTGCTGTCCTATCCGTCCGTAGGAATAGACGTTGGAGTCGTTGGGGTCCTGTCGGAAAGCCGCAGGTGGCGCATATGCTTCATCCAGCATCGCTGCTGCTGCCACCAATTCGGGCGCCAGGGCACAGATCCAGGCCACCGTGTAATCTTCTTTGCTGAACCACTCAGCCATGCGACCGCGCTCCATGTTCGATGACTCTAGAGCTCTGTGTCGGTCTTGGGGTGCCATGGTGAAAAGACAAGGTCTAGCAGATGGTCCTCTGGCGCAAGAACAGCAGGAAATGAGAAAAGTGACAGAGGTTGAGAGAAGAAAGCAGTCTTCGAGCAGTCGTAGATCGCGAGGAAGTGTATGCTGCGGATTTGTGTCGTGAAGACGTTGAGTTGGGAACTGTTCGTGCTTTTGTCGCCCAATGTTGGTTCGAGAGGCTGCGGCCTTTATACGCACACTTCCAGGTCCAAGGCCGTAACAGAGGTAAGCGTACAGTCGACTGCCTGCCCAATCGAGCTGGAACACACACCCTCTTTCTCTCTTTCTTTCTCTCCAACTTACTCTACCCTACGACTAGCCGGCGAAAGAGTGCGTGCGTGAGAGACAGTTGGGCGATGATTCACTCAGCCTTCCGGGATGGCCGTGTCGACCGCTCATGGTGGTTCAAACTCCCATCACACTTCGCTAGCGATCATATGTTTGATTGGCAGCTGCATCTATGTGGACGCCGTCAGCAAGTCTTCGATGTGCTAGCACCAGGCAAAATCACCGAGCATAACTCTGGCAGTTGGTCAAAAGAGATCCCAAGGGACAGTATGGACCTACTTCAAGGCTCATCACCTTGAAGCGACGTGTTAGTTTCTCTGGCCCCTGCCACTCATGGTGATTCCTGTCCCGCCCTCAGAGATCCTACAGAACGTGTCATATGATAGGATCTGCATGCTTACAGGGCGGCTACAGAGGCGGAAGTTCGATGTTCGACATAGAATTGTGGTAAGAGTGCCGATTCCTGCCTGACGGGCGGCGATGCGAGTGGTTCGCACATTGTTTCAGGAGTGGCGGTCAAGAACTGGTCGGATAGAGGGGGGGGGAACAAAATGGAACGAAGTGTAGACCCTAATGAACAAAGAGAGAAGAACGGCCCATAATGAGGCCGAGAGAGCAAAGCGTCCAGATCGCTTTGTTAGGTTGCTACCGTTCAGTTGTTATACAGACACAGTCAACCGTTTCATGTTGGCTTTGCTGTGCATGAACGACGTCTACAGTACTTCCGAGCGACAGATGAACTAGGGCTGCAGTTATGTACAATGTACAGTGTACAGTGTACAGTGCATATTACCCCTTTGGGCCGTCGGCACCGTAAAGCATTGGTGTGGATTATAGAGTTATCCATAGAACTTTACTACCATGCGCCCCAGGCGCAGTGAAAATGTTCGCTACCATATACTATACCCGTCTCCACGTGGCTGATGTGAAGTGGTTACTGAAGCTGGATGGCAGTAAGCAGGAGGTGGCGAATAGCTGCCCGAAGTTTGCTAGGTGTCTTATCACCCAACTGCACCATAAGTTACATACAGTACATGCGATAAATCACCTGCTCCTGGTTCCCACGCGCATACGCGAGTTTAATGTTTATCCTTCCTCCATACGCACACTCCACATCTTGAACCCAAAACCGCGCCTAAGAATCCTCAACCTCAAAGGAACCAGTGTTCATTCTATGCATCTTTGAGTTATGGGGTAATGCATCTTGCGGTCATGCGATTCAGCCCTGCATCTTGTAAGTTCCGTGATGTTCTTTCACTGGTGTCGCTGGGCCTGACTGTCAATCAGGGTAGGCTTCTAAGTGGCGAATGAGGCCCAAAGTCATTGTCCGGTCCAGGTTCAGCAGTACGATCTCAACCAGCCCTTGATAATGGTCTGTTTGAACCAGTGACAGCTAAGGCTCAGCTTCTACATCTTGTTTGCATTTACAATGAACATGTAGCGACTAACAAAAGTAAGGGCATGATGCTCTCCGACTCCACCTTCGAGCAAGCGGGGTAACCCGGAATACTGCATAGTATGTGTATTTCGCGCGGCCCGACCCGGGAGGAAGCTTGGCTACAATTCTACCATGGCATTTATGCTCTTCAGTCCGATCATCTTCAATTTTGCTGCATACATTTGCATCACAATCATCATTCCACTTCCCAAAGTGAGAAGTGGTCCTATCGACTTGCCCAAGTCCAGCAATCAGCTCGATCCCATCCCATGACTCCAGGATTTACTCATAAGCAGCAATCGCACTGGCGAAGGCAGCATCAACCGACGCAATGGCCGAGGCGATGGTCGTCTTATCGGTCGAGGTGGCCTTGGCCTCCAAGTCCGCTCCAAGCTGGTCAGTCTCGGTCTTGAGGGTCTCCACCGACGAGAGCAGGGTGGAGGAGACGCCGGCGGATGCGGCGGTGGATTCCTGTAGAATTGGTTAGTCTCGCCGCGCACTTTATGACAGGTGCAATGATCTTACCTTGGCAATGATCTCGTTCAGGGTCGCGACGATGAGCACGGCCAGATTGGACACCTCGGACGTGATGCTCGCACTGTCCGCGGTGCTGAAAGTCGAGGCGGCCACGGTGTCGGTGATAGCGGTGTCCAGGGCACTCTTGACGTTGTTGTAGTCGGTCAGAATGCCCAGGGCAGCCAAGAGGTCGCCAGTCCAGGCGGTCACGTCGGTATTGAGGGTCGACACATCGGTGTAGATTGTCTTCAGGTCCGTCAAGACCGTCGCTGCATCGCGTCTGGAAATGGGGCCTGCCTGAGCGAGAACACCCAACGCAGCAACGAGGAGAGACTTGCAGAGCATGATGAATTAGAAGTTGGCTGGAAGAGAAGACTGGTTTGTTCGTCGAGCTGATGATTTTGTGATGCTCTTGTCCGATGTCGATTTCATGGGAATCGATCACCTTTAAATATCCCCACATGTTGGAGCATGTCCTCTCTTTGGTCGTCTCATTGCGAGGGGAAGTCGACCGCTAACACAGAATAGCCACGGATGTCGAAGGCGCCATTGCAGCCTGCGATGCTTCAATCTCCGCAATAGCGCCGCACGTTGATGCAACCCCCTCATCAATCTATTCTTTCGCTCCTTTGCCAACACTTGTTTTCACGTGTCGATGGTGAGGGCCGAGGACTCATGCATAGTGGCCTTCGAACGCAAACAACTCAGTCAGCAACATGTACCCTCCTTGTGAGGGTTCGTTTGACTGGAGTATTCTTCGGACCCTCTTGCGTGCCATCCGGAAGGATTTCAGTTCGACCTTGGGAAGGTACTCTCGAGGTCATTTCTCGACTCAACATCAACGAATGTGTCTTTTGCGAGCAGACAATCTACTGCTGTGATGTAGCATGAAGGACCAACGGTCGCTATGCTCAGGCAACGTGTCTTGCTCAATGAGTACAGCCTAGATCCGACCGAGGTTGACGTTTAACCAGGTCGACCTGGATGCAGATACTTGTGATTCCAACGAGCCAATTCTGCACGGCCGCCATTTCACCAAGCGGATGGCAGGTGACCTAGTGTTGTTCTAGCCCGAGCTGAGGGGTCAATCCCTCCACTACCCCGGATATTGTATGGGATTTGAAGGAACAATCGCAGTCCCTGATCGACGCCGAGTGGATGACCCCGCTCGAACGCTCGGGCATTAATCTAGACTCCGCACCACCAACCGCCATACACTCTATGCATGGCCGACCATTGGTTCCAATATGTTTGTGGCGTCGGAATGCTCCAGAGTGCACCATTGGCTCACAGACCAAGCATCGTGCCGATCTCTTGCAGAGACGGAGTAGATTGGTGGCTAAACTTGGGGGAATGTAGTAGACACAGTTGGTTGCAGAGGCGGGAAGTTGGGATACTTAGACGTGCGGAGGGAACCGGGCAGGCGTGATATTACAATAACTTCGAATTTCAAATTAGGCTATATGGCACTTGCTGCTGTAGCTGACCATGGCTCTGGTTGCGTGATGGCTGAGGGGGCGGGAAGTGTTCCTAGGCTGGGCTGTAACGGCAAAAAAAAAAAATGAAAAGAAACCGTAGTGCATCATCCGTGAATCGAACACGGGCCTCATCGATGGCAACGATGAATTCTACCACTAGACCAATGATGCTTCTATGAAGAAATGCAATTTTAATTAGTATATCCCCTTGCATACTCAGCGACAACCTGCGAATCTTCCCTCCTCTGATCCACAATAAACTACTCCTCCGTAGTTTGGCCAACTTTACTCATATATCGAAATCTCATCGAGTCGCTAAATTTTATCCCTTCATCAAGATGATGAAGTTGACCTCGTTTACGAAGGGGCTGATTGACTCAGAAGACCCAAGGAACAACGTCATTACGCCATCCAGCATGGAGCACGAACAAGCTACTAGTACGTAGCCCTGATATGTCATTGCGAATATATGTTTGCACCATCAACCCCAATCCCCAACGTCGACAAGAGATTCCGAGTCGTTTTCCCCGCGACCTATCGCGGCTCTATCTATCGAGAGAGCTCCACCAACCTCCAAAGTTTACACCGACCGACAAATCACAATACAACTCCAGTCAAACAGCATCCCGTGTCCAACTCACCCCTACCACTCACAGCAAAATCAATCAGCAAATCCACCTCATCTCTGTCGTGGATCAGAATGCCACCCCCTCGAATACGAAAGCTGGCGAAGCCACGTCCAATGCGAGTCGGGCAGGCATTGGCCACCGCGTAGGGATCGTCCCGCGCTGCAGTCGGGCTTGACATCATCGCCACTAAGGATTGCTTATCTGCCCGCCAATGCTGTCATCCCACCGAACCCTTGCTGCTGGAGAAGAAGTATCCTCGCACAATATAGCGAGGATGCCCTTCCACCGCACTTTGCGATCGACACTCTAAGCCTCCTCGCACAGCAGAGCAACTGAGGTGTATAGCGCCACTGACGTACACCCGTTATGGGATTTCAGCATGGAGTTGAGGATATATACGCCTGTCTCAACCCCAACCCCAGCCTCCCCCATTCTCCACTACACTATCCAGCTCCACTTCAACAAGCTTATACTCTATTCCCGTGACACTCAGCCTCCAAGCATCTAACGCTCGACGCTTAGCCTCTACCACCTTGAGAAGAAACCTAACCAAGATGCCTCTCTTCCACCGCAACTCCCTCTCCAGCTCGTCCGACCGCAGCATCGACGACCCCAACACCCACAACTACTCGCACCGCTCCCATCGCTCGCACCACTCCACCTCCCCGCGCTCCAGCCTCTCCTCCTCGTCCTCTTCCTCCCGCCGTCGCAGCAGCAGCCACAGCTACGGCCACAGCGGAAGCACCCACGGCCACTCGCGCTTCAGCTTCGGCAGCCGCCGCCACCAGGAAGACCCCTCCGTCCTCGCCGCCAAGGAGCAGGTCTCGCGCGCCGAGGCCGCCGAGCGTGAAGCCGACCGCGCCCTTCTGGCTTCCCGCCGGGCCGTGCAAGATGCCCGCGAGCATGTGAGGCGTCTGGATGAGGAGGCGCGCATCGAGTATGATTCTTCCCTTCCTTTCCCTTCCTTCTCCTCTCTTCACCTTCCTGTCGGTGCTGCATTGGTAGAAGAAGCTAACAAGTGTTCGTGCTGCAGAGCCCGCGCCGCAAAGATGAAACAGGACCAGGTCAAGTCGATTACGAAACGGGCCAAGCCGCTGGGACGTAAGTGATTCGTTGCTGTGCTGTACACTTGGCTTGGAGGGTTGAGGTTGGTGCTGATGGACTGTGTGTGTGGTTTAGGGCATGTTTGAGGGGAGTGTGCGATGCGCTCCCGACGCTTGATGTACTTGTACTATTATTGCCTGACTGTAGCTTTATTGTCGGTTTTCTTAGCGTACTTGGCTTGGTGCTTTTTGAGCGATGATACTTGGTTTCGCGAAGTGGCGTGGACTGTACGATATGAGAGTGTATGATATGATATGATATGCATAGATGGTGGCAATTTATGGTTTTGTTGATGTGCGTGTGCGACGTCACTTGCGCTGATCTGATGCGGGAGAGGCGATGCTCTGATGTGCTCGTATTCATTTCTCAATGAATCAAGTTGAGTTATGTTAGCTAATATCATCACCCATCTATTGTCGACTTTCCTTGATGATGTCTGCAGCCTTCTCAGCCACCGCAAAAACCGTGGCCTGGATGTTTCCCCGCGGGATCAGAGGGATGACCCCTGCAGCAACCACGCGCAGATTGCGACACCCGTACACCCTCGGCTTGTCATCCACCACGCCCCCGATCGCCTGCAGCAGCATGGCCGTGGTCCCGACCCCATGGTAATGGGCCACGATGCGGTCCCGCGTCAGCCTCCGCGCCGTCGCCAGGTCGCCCACCCGCTCCGGATGGTGCAGTCGCCGGCCGTTGGGCTTCAGCAGCGAGGCCATCGGCTCCGTCGCCGCCAGGGTCTCCATCCAGCGGACATGACGCGCCTGCAGCTTGAAGTCCAGCGGATGCGCCAGCAGCTGCGGGTCGAAGGTGGGGTGAAGGCTTGCGATCTACGTAGATAGCCCGACAGCGACTCCCAGTTCCATCCAGGATTGCCGAGCTGCTCCCACGTATCGATGTCGGATCAACTGGGGTAAATGGCCATTCCTAGATTGATGGCTGATGAACCACCCAGGGTGCGCCCACGAGGTTCAGCGATGCATCGGCCATTGAGGGCTTCCTGGTTTCCACGCAGGGAGTGTCAGGGTGCATGAGACAGCTTCTGTTGAGATATGAGGGATCTTCCTTTCTGTGGGGGACCGGCTAAGACACCAGTCGAACGCGGGGTCGAAATAGGTGCTGGCTGCTAATCCAGGCACCGCAATTCGCGGTCATCAACGCAATTACCGCCTGCCTCCAGCACCCGCACGCTCACAGTAGGATCTTCGGTCAGTCGATTAGCGACGACCAGGCCCGCAGTTCCTCCGCCCACGACGAGGTAGTCGTAGGTCTGACGCAGATTCGAAAGCGAGGCAGTCTCGGTCGTCATCCTGTCTTGGGCAATTGTTCGAGTCGAACTAGAAAGGAGGAGGCGTGTTCTGGGAGACGAGTTTGTGGTCCAAGGATTTAAGTAGGGAGCATTCGTCCCTCTGCCTCTCAGCCTCGTCGCGGACTGATAACGAGAGCGTGATATGAGTGGAGTACTCACTGGATCTTATGGTCATTCGTAGGCAATGGGACGAAAGAACCTCCCTTGACAACTACCGTGAGTGGCATTCAGATGAGGAGGCTATCCACTCTCAGCCCCTCCCATAGGCTGTTCGAGTCAACTGCCAGCGATGAAGCAAAGTTTCGGCATCTGCTAAGCATAATTTGGCTTGCACCGGTTCCACGTGCGATCCATGCGATCCGATTCATGAACAAGAGAGGTGACTGGCAAGCGTCGCACTTGAAGGCGCCGCCTTAAAGGATTCAGAGTGGATGTAGTAACATCCTGCTCACTTTCCGGCCGGCTACCTCTTTTCATGAGCTACTGGCGAAAGCGTCAAGAGGGTGATCGCTTATACATTGAAAACAGCACTCTCGCAAAATCCAGTCGTTGTGGCCACTGTCTTTGGTGCTCTTGCCACTTTGACCACCGCGTTGCGCTTTTACGCCCTGCGCTTGCGTCAAGTCGAGCCTGGCTTGCAAACTACCAGTAGCCCTTGAATCGATTCGATCATGAGCTCATCCAGACCAAGATTAGAAGTGGACCATCTTCTCGAAAAGGGCTTCGAAAGAACGTAGATCTGCTAGTCTCGACCACTCAGGCCATCAACGAGGATCAGCAGGATCAACATCATCCAGGACATTGACATCGAGTATCGCTTGGCACACGAGAGAGTATTCTAGCCAGCCATAGGCTTGAGATGGGTTCAAAGCTCGCACGTCGTCAATAGTTGCAACTGTGCACAAGAATGATGTGCTTAATTAATGTTGTGGCAGCGATAAGATAAGAGTGATTACATGATCCTCCACGGTCGGGGATTTCCCCAATTCTCCCCCGCAATTGCCCCTTCCCTTCTCCTCTCATCTCCCATCCATATCTTCCTTTGGGGCTTTCTTGATCATGCATCATGTACAGTTCCTGCTACACTTGTCGCCGCAGACATGTCGAGTGTCAAATGTCCCAGCCCCCGTGTAAAAAGTGCCAGAAGGCCGGGCTGGAATGCCTCCAAAAGAGGCCCCTTCGCTGGGTCAAAGGCGCAACTTTCCGCGGCACTGCGAAGCCTTCCACACCCACAGAGAACACGCCGCAATCCAAGACGATATCCCCACCTCAGTCCCACTCCGAAATGAAGATTATGAACGGATCGGATCGGTGGCATACTGGAATTTTCGATACCCCCCTTCTCCGCATACCTTCAAGCTTAGACGAGCCCGTTACTCGAGGTCTAGACGAGGATTCTCGATACTACCTGAACTACTGTCAGTGAGCTATTGGTCAAAATCCTGTCGCGAGGTGCTGCTGACATCAACGACAGACAGCAAATGCGTATGCAAGCTGTTTGTCATGTTCGACAGCCAACGCAATCCCCTCAGACAGCTCATTCCCGCGGCTATCGCCCATCCCGTGCTGATGGCATCCGTCGTCGCTCTCGCAGCGCGACACCGAGCAAACGCTACCCAGACGTTCGAGCAGATCCAAGCAAGAGATTACTCTCGGGCTCTGAAGCCTTGCTACAACGCTTCTTTGTACAAATACCGGGCGATCAAAGGGCTTTCGGAGGCTCTAGGCGACGGGAATACTGCGGTCGATATCTTGATCATCAGCGCATTCTTGTTGATTCTTCTGGACCTTTTCGAGTCGGGAAATGATAAATGGAACTTCCACGTCGAAGGGGTCAAGAAACTCATTGCAGGGATTCAGGTTCCGGCGAGCTCGCGTGAGCTGGAAACAACCATCCAAGGGATGTGCGAATTCGCTATGCGACAGGTGTACTTGTACGATATCTCTCAACAGCCTCAATTTCGTCTGACCGAGATAAGCTAACTGGTGGTGTCATTGCAGAATCGATACTTTAGGTACGACCTTCACGCGTCCTGGGTTACTAGCCACCTCCGAATCCAACCAACCGTCTACGGCCCTCCAGATGAGCGTTGACAAGGCTTACTTGGGTTGCCCGGAATACTTCCTGAATGCTCTTCGGTCTTTCTCGGCAGCTAGGGACTGCCTGGCGAGCTCCAAATGCCTTGACACCATCGATGCGTATTCGCTGCTCCAAACCATCCAGGTCTCACTGGAGTCTACGCAAAGCTTTGACTGCCATGTCTGGGCTACGGAACTTGAGCCTTCTCTGTCGACTTTCACTGGGCCAGCACAATCTTTCCCGCTTCTGGAGAAGTTAGGTCAGGCCTATAAACTGGGGACATCGATCTACGGTTGGCGTGTCTGCGATGTGTTCACGGGAGACTCGACTCCGTTGGAGGACATAGTCGGGGAGCTGATCAATACTGTTGCTGCGCTACGGAGCAATGAGGCGCTGTTCAAGTGCATCCTCTGGCCCTTGTTCGTTGCAGGCCTGGAATCTCGGGATGCGTGCCAGAGGCAGTTGGTGGGAGATTGCCTTCGCAGGTTCTGGTTCGAAACCAAGTGTATCAATGTGATCAATGCAGAGAAGATTCTGCAGCGATTCTGGGCCGAGGCCGAGCAGAACCCGAATTCTAGGTCCAGTTGGATCTTCAGTATGGGACAAGTAGATGGCGATTGGCTTCTGATATGATTATGCTGAGTATAGCATCCATTTTCCAGTTCAATCACCTGGCAGCGCCATTGAAGCCGTCCACGTCATTTGGTGCTGCCCGCCGGTCGCACGATGCGGTAGTTGATTGGCCAGGCTTCGCCCCACTCCAAAAGACTTCCCGATCCGGTTAGAGTCATCTCCCGGCCTGAGGCTTCGCAAGGAAACGAAGACATCGAATATCCCCGTGGACACTTAATCATCGTCCCAAGATTGGTGAGACTGCTTCAAGGTGGCTTCTACATTGTATGACCAAGCTCGAAAACGAGCGGTTTATCAGCATGCGGATTACAAATCGTCACCATGAGCACATCACGACCGGGGTTGCGGAGAACTATAAAGACTTTCAACTTCTTCTCTCCTCAGTGACCCAGACATTCTTCAGGATCCAATCTATAGCTTCCTAACCTTCACTCAATCTATTCTTGCCACTGCCGACATGTGCCAAAACGAGGTTGAACTCAACGGCTGGACCAGCGTTCCCGTCAACGCTGGTGCCATCTTCAAGGACCAGCCTTTCATCACCGCACCTGCCCCTCTCTCCATCGACGAGATCAAGTTTCCTTCCGACGATCCCGTCGTCGCAAAGACCCAGGAGTATGCTCAGGCCGTTCTCCATCCGCAGACCTTCAATCACTCGGTGAGAGTGTTCTACTACGGTACGCCTGTTTGAACGACCCCGATCCACAGTAACTAATCTTGATCTGCAGGAATGGCCATCGCCAAACAACAGTTCCCCAAGCAAGCCGCGACTTTCAGTCCTGCTACCTGGGCTTTGCTCTGTCTTCTACACGATCTCGGTACAGCCGAGGAGAACCTGACGGCCACCCGGATGTCCTTCGATCTCTACGGAGGCATCAAAGCTCTGCAGGTCCTCAAGGACTTCGGCGCCACGACTGACCAGGCCGAGGCAGTCGCCGAAGGGATCATCAGACACCAGGACATGGGGGTAGACGGGACCATCACCTTCTTCGGGCAGCTCATCCAGTTGGCGACCCTCTACGACAATGTGGGGGACCACCCTCACGTCAAGAACTTCAGCAAGATCCTCCACGATACCACTCGGGAGGAGGTCAATCAGGCGCACCCGCGACAGCGCTGGTGCTCGTTCTTTGCGGATGTCATCCGTAAGGAGGAGACCATCAAGCCTTGGTGCCATTCCACGCATATTGTGGAGTTTGACAGTCAGGTCGAGGGGAACTCTCTGATGAAGAAGTGGGAGTGAGCATTTCGGACAATGTCGTTTGATGTCTGCACGAAAGCTATGGTTTATTCGCTTGCATAAATGTCATCTACATAAGTGTTCAATTGTTAATCCACCTGCTTCAATTCTGCGCATGTCATGTTCCACTGGTGACCAGATCGGGCCGATTCATTCAAAATGAGGCGATATTTCACGATCGACTCGATGGTGGCTGCAGCGCAGGTCTAACGCGCAGGCGAATCTACCGGTATGAGTTCTAAGCCCACAGTAGGTATCTATGTGAACTACGGGCTCTGGGATCCCCTACGACTTGATATGAAATTTCAGCGCATTCCCAGAACGAACACATTCCATAAGGGAAGCACAACACGGATTTGCCTGCAAGCGACTCTTATCTCGAGCGACCTAGTAGCTACATGAGAAGTATCTTAAATACAATACTGGGACTGCATCTCATATGACATGTAACGTGCAAGTTGGTAAATATACCAGGTTGTGGATTGTTCGGTTCTGTTCCTCGGTCCTGCAGTATCCGGGCCGGGTAAGTGGCAAAGGAACCAATATTGCGATCAAGCCCGAGGTCCGAGCCGGTATTTCCTGTATGGAGTCTATATGCGGGCAAGGCCAATGCCCAGGAGTGTAATGGCTGGTGTCCGTACGACTGGGGTGATAGATGAGCGGATTCCAACTCAACCTGACCGTTGGAAACGTCCCTCGGACCGAAAGGAAGTATCCTTAGATATGTCCTATCAGCTTATGCAATAGTCTGTGTAGCGGCACGTTCTGAAGAACAGACTTGCTCTGAATCAAACTGCCTCGCATCGTTTCCATTTCACTCAGTACCGTTAATGTATCTGGCTAACATCCTGCAATGTCCTTCGACCACGCTCAATTTTGAAGTTGATCCATAGCCGGAAGAGTCTCATGCTGAGTGTAAGGCCCCCACTTCGAAATAGGCTTAGGCTTATGGTGATGGCTTGCCTCATCGCTGCAGGAACCAATCGATATATCAACTCTCGATTGCCTTGCAGGACGATCGCTGCCCCTTGCAGTTGTTCCTGGGCTGATGCATTCGCTGCTCGACTCGCGCTATTGACTACGTCTGCCCCTGATCTACGGCCAGGACTGGCGTTTGTCGAACTACGACTGAGGGAATAGATGGATGTTCACTAAGTTGACTGTATTAGTGAGTGTCTCGGTGTTGTGTGTAGACCGGAGTATATTCGGCGGTGTTAGATTCGCGGTGTAGGAGACCGAGGTCGTCACACAGATATATGTTGCCGCTACTCGGTGGGTTGTAGATGCTACCTCTTACTGTACTCCACACCCACCCAATATATTGTGGGCAGGACTGGTTTCGACAAAATCGCCACCATGTAGCAGAAACCTCCAGAAACATGTGCACCCATTGGGATATCGCCGCTGAAGCGAAACACTTGATGCAAGCATACAAAGGAAGAATATTGTTCCGCGGCTGGCAGGCTTCCCCACCACGTGACCTCTATCCGACCGAGGGATCCGAGAATAGCGAGTCAGCCATGATGGATGCTAAGATTAGCCCTTCTCAGCTGGTTGTTTACATGGCTGTGCTGTGTCAGTGGCCACCACGAGCAAGACAACTTCCTCGGAGGATTCTCCCTTTCGAGCCTGCTGGGTTCATTGCTTTTGATGCTTTGACACCATGGTAGTTCGTATCAATCATGCGAAAACCTTGATGATGATGATGTAATTTCGAATCTGTCTGACGATGGATGCCCTGCATTCCAAAACACCCGCCGAATGCGTGCCCATTGTGTGCACCCGCCGAATGCACGCACAGTCGCACACTCTCCTCCTCGGCCTTTCGGGAAGATAACGGGTCCATCAACTATTATTGCCCCAATGTTTTCGATGGAAAACCTGTCGGAGTGACCCGAATCACATTTCCCACCCCATTGGTCCGTCCCTCATGAAGGGCCATCGCCTGCCAACAACCAACTAAGGGTCCTGGAGGGGAGAAACATTGCCAACCCAACCACGCGCTGTCGTTGCCGTCCCGAGTGAGACAGTTCCGGCTATAATTAGTGTGCACCCGGAGGTCAGATGAAGTACGGTAACGGCTGTTTGCTGCCTGTCTATGTGTTTTTGTTTTCATGTTTGTGTTAGGGTGTGATTCGGTGGTTGGTTCCTGAGGACCAAAGGATGTCGACGAACTCGATAGGGCATTTAATGATTTGACCCAAAACCGTCCCTCGTACCTCCGGTCCGCTTGATCCACCGTTCCCAGCTGGGCCAAATGATCACCACGGATGCAGTGAGGAGACAAAGGGACATTCCCTCCAGTATTGGATGTAAAAGGTTGTACTCAGCCGGACCGTCCGTATTATTGGCCCCTCCGGTGCTTTAGCGGTTGCTGTCTTATCTATTTTCGTTGACATGTTCAGACCTGTCCAGTGGAATGAGAGGAACCGCCCTCTTGGTGCCCTTGCCCCATTGCCACCTGGGAAAAAAGAATAATCATTAGATTTGGAGACAGACTTTTTCTCCCCCATCTCTGAGACATCCCAACTCGTCGATATTACTATATAACTCCTCCGCCGGTCTATCCAGCTGCAGGCTTCTTTCTTTCATTATCACCATCACCAACACTCGTTCTCTTTGGACTTGACCCTTCGCCTTCGTTTTGCATCCCAGTCACCCGTTTGAATCAACTTTTTGCTCTAATCTAATCAGCTACCATGCGTTTCTCCTACGCCGTTCTGCCCCTGGCTGCCATTGTTGGCGGTATGTATTCTCTTCGGGTGGATCTGATCATCCTGCGAAGCACATGGTCACTAACGCCTGCCTGTAGCCCTCGAGGTCACCTCCCCCACCAAGGGCGAGGATGTTGATGTCTCCAACTCCTTCACTGTCAAGTGGGACTCCGTCAGCACCGACGCCTCCAACTTCAATCTTTACATTGTCAACAACGCCGTCTACCCCCCGGTTGAGCAGAAGATCGCCAGCGATGTCGAGACCTCCAAGGGCTCCTACACTGTCTCTGGCCTGTCCGGCCTGACCGACGGGTACGTTCTCTATCTTGGAGTGTACAAATGCGCAGCCGACTAATCTTCCCAACAGCAAGGGCTACCAGATCAACCTGGTCTCCGACGAGCCCCAGAACAGCGGCATCCTCGCCCAGTCGCAGCAGTTCGACGTGAAGGGCGCCTCTTCCAGCTCCAGCTCCAGCTCCAGCGCCAGCGCCAGCTCTTCCAGCACCAGCAGCGCCTCTTCGTCTTCCTCCTCCTCCGCCTCCTCCTCTTCGTCTTCCGCCTCCTCCGCCTCGACCACCCTCACCTCGACCGCCAGCTCTTCTACCGGTACTGCCAGCACCCTCATCTCCACTACTGCCCAAACCACATCTTCTCAACCCACCTCTTCTCAACCCACCTCTTCTCAACCCACCTCTTCCTCCTCCATCAGCGGCGCTCAGTCGTCGAGTGCGCGCGCCAGCACCCCAGTGGCGAGTACTAACAGTGTGTCGCCCTCAGGATCCGCTACCCCCAGCTCGACGGCCAACGGCACTGCCCCGACGGCCTCTGTCGCCCCCGGTGCTGGTTCCGCCCTGACTGCCCCGCTGACCGCCGTTGCCGGTCTGGTCATGGGCGCCATGGCTCTTGTTCTGTAGACGAGCATGCCTAAGGTGATCCGCAACCGGTGGACAACCCTGTCCCACCCTTACCGAACCGGACCCCCCGGATCGGAACCCGATTTGATTGAATTTCCACTTCGCGCAATACGTTAATTACTACTATGGACATAAAAGCAACCTTTCGCGTGAAGTGAGGGTGCTGTATTAATTGGACCGTGTCGGAGTGATTGGTTTGGATGTTATGTGTTTCTTTCCATGCTATGTTCTAGAATCATAACAATTAAGTTAGTTGGACCAAATAATGGTCGCATTGGAGCTCGTTCCTTGGGATCCCCGAGTAAGAACCTCGGATATGGCCGACCGTGCCCCGACGGTGCTTGTGTCGCTTGCCTGTTCCTGAATTGACTGTGCTACCTTAGGCAAAACATGGTTCATCCTGGCGGGATTCTGGGAGTGGAAAGTGCAGACAGCGAGTCTGACATCATCCACCGCCGAAAGCAGTGGAATGCCGAGCGGCCGACCGGGGCCAGGAAAAACTGGGAGATAATCCACCGCCTGAGACCCTGATTGTCCTTTCGTATGGGGTGGTATTGAAAAATACGCACTGCATCCGGAACCGCACGGCGGGCTTGCCGGAAAGGGCGTTAGTGCGTCCCCGGGTGTGAGTTTTTCAGTCCTTGTCTGACACTGAGGTGGTCAACCACGCCGGATTCTCTCTTCCGAGACATTTCTTTCTTTCTTTCCTTTGCCTTTCAGGTTTTGGTGGGTTTCCTGCCAGGAACAGCAAGAGACCCATAACGCAGTGTTAGTGTCTCAATCTGTTTTCGGATCTGGTGGGAAGTGCAAGCCTGCTCTGTTCTCGGCGGGTTGCTCGATACGATGAGGCTTGTGTGGGTGGGTGAGTGGATGCGGGCTTGGCGTGAAGCCATGAGATAAGGGAAATGAGCTCTACACTTTCCTGCATGCGAAGGACTGTCATCCCTGCCGTGATGCAGTGATGGACAGGGGGAATTGGCTGGATGCTTCAATTGATAGGAGAGAGTGTGGTGATGAGAGGAAATGAGATGAGATGAGATGAGATGCATTGGGTGCAGGCTGCAGAGTGTTGTCTTGTCTGTCAGTCAGTCCAGCGAGAGTCAGACCGACCTATTGGCAATAATGTTTCAGTGCACTGCCCCACTTGCATTCGGATTACCTGATATTTTACTTTTACTTCATAGAGGAGAGGAGTTGCCCGATTGGGGTGTGTAGACTCTTTGGGGTCCCATTGACTTTATTTTACTTTTTGTGCTGGTTGTGCTGCTCGTGCAGTGGTGGTGCCAGCTAGCCAGCCCTCGTATTCCGGTTTAATGGCGTGGTCCATGGCTCGGTCCGGTGGGGGTTACCCTTCTTACCTTTGGCTCAGTGCAGTACTGTATGTACCCCAGGTATCCCCTCTACCCATAGATATCATGATCACTGCATCCGCAAAACTGTGAGTCAGCGCCGTCTCATCCCACACAAACCACAAACCAACCAAGCAGGGTCAAACACATACAACGGGTCATTCAGCCTCCCGCGGTCCGGCGCCGCCGCATCAACCCAAACGCTAACCCCCCCTCCCTCCACGGGGAACTCCCCATATCCCCGCGCGTCAATCACCACCGCACCCAACTTGCCGCTGTCGCCCTCCAACACCTCCGTCCACGTCGCATGCGCGTGTCGCTGCCCGACATACATGCGCTTCGTGGCACGCCCGGGCGCGTTGCTCAACACACACGCCAATCCCGCCGGGTGGCGCGCGTTGCCGTATCGGACGAAGCCTGCGGTTGCACACGGGGGTGGGGTCAGATACGAAAAGCCGCCACGTGAGGGAAGTTTATGTTCAAAAGTCATGAAGTCATCGCCCGATTGGGCAATTTGGGCAATTTGGGGGATGGCTATTTGATTTGATGATGGTAGGTTGGCGGGAACGTACCGATGCAATGCGCTTGGTCGAAGTAGTCCTGTTGCTCGCCGTAGGCGAAAAGCTTGCGGGTGCGGGTGAGGATGGGGACTTGGTAGGCGTAGGCCGCGTCGCGGTGGGCTTGTTGTGTCTGGGCGTCCCAGATGCCGTACAGGTCGCCGTAGAAGAGACAGGGGCGGCCCTCTTGGCGGAGGAGGATGAGGGCGTAGGCGAGGAGTTTGAACTCCGGGGTGATGGTGTTCTGCACCGGGGTTAGTATCGATAAGGCGATAAGGCTGTGGTTGGATAGTATGGGTGGGGAGGTTCTTACCTCCATCATTTGGCCGGGTTGCTGACTTGCTGTTAGTGATCCTATATTCAGGGTGCAGGGTGAGCTGCACTTACCGTGTCATGGTTCTCGACGAATGTCTATGCTCCAAGGTCAGGTCAGCACTCCGGCAACCTCACCTTCACCCCCCTCATCTGTTTCCCCCACAGAATCAAACCGCAAGAGAAGACATACCAAAGCATTTCCCCCACACCGTTCGACCAACGTCCCCCGCAACACGCGCCGCAGATCCCCACGGCCTTTCTCCAACGACACCCGCGAGAAATTATGCACCAGCGGCGCGTCGACCGCGACCACCGTCCCCTCCATCTCGGTCTGGACGTACCGCACCAGCTCCTGCACATCCCCCGTCCAGTACTCGCCGATGACGACGAACTCCGGGTCCGTGGTCGCGCGCATGTGCGCCGCGAACGCCTTCTGGAACCGCATGGAGAAGTGCTTCGCCGCGTCCAGCCGCATCCCCTTCAACCCCAGCCGCTGGCCGATCCAGGTGCCCCAGCGCAGCACGTCCGCGCGCACCTCCGGGTGCGAGTAGTCCAGGTCCGCGAACATGAGGTAGTCGTAGTTGCCCAGCTCCCGGCCCACGTCCTCCGCCCAGCCGGGCTTCCCCGCCCCGCAGATCCGGAAGATCGCATTCTCTTGGGCGGCGTCGTCCCAGTCGACCCCGCTGAAGTGGTACCAGTGGTATTCCTGGGCGCTGTGGACGGGGCCCCGGCCGGAGAAGCTGAAACCCGTCCAGCCGGAGATTTCTTGGGGGGTTGCGATCTCGACATCGCGTCCTGGTTTTCGTCGCGTGAGCATCACCTTGGGTACGTGGAATGAGGAGAAGCATACGCTGAGAATCAACCTTGACCGCTTCGAACCGTTCCGGGAAATCGGCGCCCGCCTTGTGGTTCAGCACCGCATCCCAGTACACGCCCACCCCCAGGGCGTGGGCGTCCTCCATCAGCGCCTCGAGGTCGGCGAAGGAGCCCCATTTGGTGGCGGTGCTGCCCTTCTGGTCGAACTCGCCCAGGTCGTACAAATCGTAGATGTCGTACCCGTTCCCCGACGGGTTCATCGCCTTGCACCCCGGCGGGAGCCAGACGGAGTCCACCCCGATGGCGTGCAGGGCCGGCAGGGCGCGTTGCAGCCGTCGCCAGTGGCGGTTATCGTTCGGGATGTGCCACTCGAAGCCTTCGAAGAGCAAGGTGTTATCGCTGGGGTCGTGCCAGCTGGGCTGGGATTCCACGTTGTCGGCCTTGGCTGTGCAAGACCGTTCAATATATATCTCTCGATGTATTGGGGGGGGGGGGAGGGGGGCGGGATAGCTAACCCTCTATTTGCTTCCAGTCATGGAGGTCTCTTCGCTTGCGCGGGCGGAAACACCACAGCAAGGAATCCATTGCGCTGGGTTGATTTGTGTGTATGTTCTGTTTAAGAGAGCATGTATCTGGAACTGTATAGCTGGTGGCAACTGTGCTCTATACACCTGCATATACAAATATACACATACAGGAGATCGGATTGGCCCCTGATTGATGCGGTGCTGTTTGTTGCTTGCAGCCACTGACTACCCTCACTAAGTTAACCACCTAAGCTAAATTAGTCCATGTGTTTACCTTAGTTATCCCGAGGAGCTTTTCTTACGCCGCCGGGTACAGCTGTGACCGCCTTGCCCCATTGGAAGGACGCGATCCGAGGCAAGACAGCCCAAGCGAGACACAATACCCGTACCGGGCGCGTAAATTACCGGCCACCCTCCGAAATCTCCGGCGGAAAAATATTCATTCAATCGAAGAAAATAAAAAGCTCTCCGTGCCAAGTGGAGTCCCTTCAAAAGCCGGTCGAACAGAAATAAAAATGGGGCCTGACGTTGGAAAACCGAGAGCTGTCCATTCTTAGATGCAAGCTTCGGCGACGGAGCGAAGGTCTTAAGTTGTGTCCAAGACATTCCAGATTGTTGCCCCACTACGGCGAAGACATTGCGGATTAAATGGTTCTGAAGAGATTACTTGATGGAAACTGCATGCATGCCCCTGACTGCGCCGTAGGGTTGAGCATATTGAAGCATCAAGATGATTACCGGCTACATCAAGGGGGGGTTCAGTCGAGCAAGGGCCTGCCGCAGAATCGAACAAGAAAAATAAATAAATAAATAAATGAAAAACCAGGTACAGCGCCAATCGAGAGAGGAACGAACACCAAGATATGTGAAGTATGTACATCAAGAAATTGCTTAGTAGCAGCCGCAGCAGTAAAGAAATAGTAAAAAAAAGTTGTATCAATCCCGTGATCGGGGGACACCATTTTCAAAACAACACCCCAAACTAAGCAAGCAACAAGCTAGCCAACAGGGTAATTATCGCAACCAAACCCCAGGACACCTGCGCCACGGTCGGACTGGCCGTGGAACCCAGGGCGGCGGCGGCCGCCGACAGCCGCAGATGGCTCAGCGAGGTGGTGTTGGAACTGAAGCCACACAAGCCACTGCCAGGCATCAGCGTCACCGGGAAGAAGACCCGCGGCTCGCCCTTGTCCATCGGCACGATCAGCTGGCTGTAGTCGTTGACCGTGTAGTTGACGCAGTTCAGCACCTCCACCACCTCGATGCCCGCCCCGTAGGTCATGGGCAGCGTGACGTTGTACGAGCTGCCCGTGCTGCCCTGCGTCGAGAGCAGCATCACCACCTGCCGCCCGAACGCGCCCTTCCAGAACGCCAGCTCACTACCGCCCTGGTACAGCGGGATCGTTTGCATCTCGATGTACTCCGGGTCCAGCATG